TCAGAGGATTTATGATAAATATATATTACTACTACTGCCCTTAGTTTGTACTGCAAAGATAAGGCAAATTTAGATTACAAAGCTAAATTACATTTTATATCTATTCCTTATTTATAAAGCAGTTGATAATCATGATTATTACTATTATTATTTTATCACAAGCCAATGATGTACGAAATACTTAAAATACTGTCTGTAGCTCGCGAACTGCACAAAGCGTGATACGAGTAGGACGTTCAATTTGACCTTATAGTTTACAGTTGTATTCTGGAAATATCAACCACAAAGTATTATTTTTTTCCGCGAAAGTGAAATTTCACTTTGCATATTTTAACGTAACTGAAAAGTATTTGTAAAAACAAATAAAACGACATGAATTTATAAAAATATATAAATATGTTCACATTGGCAACAGAAGAAACAGTATCGTTAAAAATAAAATAAACAAAAACTACTTTTAGCATTAAAATTCACCTTATTACGAGGAAAGTATTGTAGACAGGCAAGAAATCTCTTCAAATAATTTTGTTAGACCTAAAAGAAAAAGTATATTACCAGCAAAATTGTCATTACAATAATAATATCAAATATTTCTATCTTTGTTGTCATCTTTGAGTACATAATCGTATATTTAAAGATTTCAGATTTTTTTTAATTGTGTTGCCAATGGTGTTTAATCTTTAAACATCAAATTTAAATTGTTTAGTCAGTAATAAATATTGCTTAGGTCAAAGAAAATAATATAATTCTCATATAATGTAATGTCCTTATATATCCTCAATACATTAATTATAATTTATAAGTATTGGTACAATTTGCAACATATCATACCCTCTTTATAAACAAATTTCATATGTCCATACCAAGGCTGCCAGTATGCATCACAAAAATGATTTATCTCTTTGTCATTCATTCCAGTTAGATTATGATTGTGAATCTTTAGAAATATGTTTCATGCATTATATTGTGAAAACAAAATATATTTAAAATCTTGTATTTATAACCTACTCAGCACCAGACACAGGCATACAACAACTTGAACGATGAGGAGATTGTTGTTTCGAAAGATCAACAGTATCTTCTACTAATGGTCTTTCTAGTCTAGCTTCAAGTTGTGCCCAAGCAGCAACAGCTGCACCAAATGCTGCTTCAACATTGGTTGCATCCTTTGCAGATGTTTCCACTAGTGGAGGATCTCCATTTTCTGCACACCAAGCTTGAGCTTCTTCTGTAGAAACTTGCTTCTCAGAATCTGGAACGTCCACCTATAAAAATGATTTTCATAAATATTATTGATTGTCTTATTTCTTTTTTTACAAGCATCACTTACTTTATTCCCAACAACTATAAATGGAAATGTTGATCCTTCTTGAACATCAGCATAATAAAGAAATTCAGATCTCCAAAGTGCTAAATTTTTAAAACTTGTTCTATCGTCTACGGCATAAGTTAAAAGGCAAATATCAGAGCCTCTATAAAATGGAGTTCTAAGAGTCTTAAATCTTTCTTGTCCAGCTGTATCCCATATTTGCAATGTGTATGCCTCTCCATTAATTTCAATATCTTTGTTTAAAAATTCTACTCCAATTGTATGAAAACTATGTTCGTCAAAGTGATTCGATACAAATCTATTCATGAGACAAGATTTGCCAACGCCGCCGTCACCCAGGATTACCACTTTCAAAAGTGTAGATCTTTGGGAATTACGATTTTGTAAATTACCACCTCTGAGTGTACCCACTGTAGTTGAATTGTTTCCTGACATCTTTCAACTTTTATTTTTTTAAAATAATGAAGAAACTATATGTTCAAAAATATGACATATATATATGTATGTTCTTCATGTATCGCTATTTTCGACATGAGACAATTCTATTCTTTATTCCTTAAGCATCGAATGTACGTATCAGATCATTTGTCAATCTAGGAATCAGCTGATTCTCATATTAAATAAGTCAATCCACTTTTCTTATATTAGATACATCTTAAGCCAACAATATACGTTCACTCTGAATTTGTAACTTCGTATAATTCGTATCTAGTAAACAATCGTATTATTTAAAACACTTTAATACCATAATTTTCGTTTTACGATCGGGCATAACCTTTTCATTTTCTAGTAGGCTTCAACGTCAAGTCAAACGGGCCTCATGTTATTTTGACGATCGAGATTACAATTTTCAATTTTATAGAAGCCATGTATTTTATCTTCTTCGATGTTAACTTAATTATTCGGACAAAGTCGCGATACCGAATGATGCTCTTTGGTTGTGAGTCATAGCCAACACCGAGTGAAATTGCGATTTTCTCGAACGAATATATATCGTACGGTCACTTCGAAGCATTTGGCAATGGCAAGAATCATAAACAACTTTTTAACGTTTTCGAATGGCTAAAAAGTATTACTGCTCCTGGACATTTTTGTTGTGCGCAAAGTATTTGACACTTTGCAGACGACAAAAGAAACGCCCATGTTGGATGTTTAACATATAGGATGAATATGGCTACCAGAAATTATAAATAAATATTAATCCAATGTATACGTATATCAGACTACATCTATACCATATCTGTATATCACCTAAGAATAATTTATATAACAATTAATAATAACTAAAGTAACGACGGTTATTCATGCGTATTATAATCTATTCAACACATTAATATGTGTATATGTATATGCATTATCCTATCAATATATGTATATTATAATTAAAATATGTTATAGATATATGTTAAATTATTACATAAAAATTATTGTACGTAATTGTTAAAATTATATATAATATTCTAGCTATTTTCATGTAACTTGAATTGCATTTATCATATAACCAGAAGATGGTGCTACAGTTCGTGAAGGATTCTTTTCTTTTATTAACATCATTTAATTAAAACGTTATATTGAATTGACAATACGAAGTAGATCATTAAATTGTAAATCATTTACAACTGAATCTTTATTGAAACATTCCAATAATATACGAAACTACAGAATTATCGAAATTTTTGTTATTTTTATAATAATAACTTAATAAACTATATAGTCAGTAATAAGTGTGCATACGCATTTCAAAATTTGAAGGGTAAAAACGATGAAAGTTTTTCTTTCAATTAGATAAATACAATTGCGAAATAAACTAGGTCTGTTTATCAGTTACTTTATAAATGAAAATTTGATCGATTCACGGACACTGAAAACACTATCACCACATAGTGGTGCAAAGATGAAATTAGTCACTATCGTTGTCCTTGTTTCAAAATGTTCAACTATTACGATGGTGATATATAACTTCTTGTTACACAGTGTTATGTTTCTTATCTGTTACGCGACAGACATTTGTTCTTGTCAATGAACAAGGTGTCAATTGATAAACAGGAACTATTTATAACTTGACAATAATATTTACAACATAATAGTAATAGAATCATTTACAACTTATGTACAATATTTAATAATAAACTTTTAACAAACTACGACTCTTTCATTATTGGCGAAATATCGGAAAACCATAAAGAGAATAATTGAACAAGAGTAACAATTGAAAGTCCCGCGTACTCGAACATTAACCAATAGCGCGCGCCAATAGGTATCGCGAAATATCGATAATGAATGATAGCAAGATACATTGTACAATCTTGTGGCGATAGCGATATATCTGAATATCGCTTGCTATCGATGTTTTGCGATACCATTTGCGATTGATTGGTGTTTCACGACGCGGAACTTTCAATTATTCTGGTTAAAGACTTCCCTACATTTTGTTATCGTAATTTATTAAATAATTCTTAAAAGATATCATACCGATGAACTTAATCTCGCATATATTGTTAAGAACATAATTCGGAGTAATTTTTTCTAATAATTTAATCGATGGTCTCTAATAATTTTTAACACAGTTTCTAAGATATTATAAAAAACATTGAATTCTGCCATTATTATGCAATCAATGTCTTAGTGGTAGTACATATACTGAGTGTTTCATTTAAAATCCAACATTGACAGTCCAACTAGTTGCTAACCAAAATAATTTTAGTAATATAATTAGTTAAAAATTATTTTTAAAAATAATGAAGTTAAATAATTATATACATGAAATGTATATTAATATTAAAACACGGATAGAGTTTTTTGTGATATATACATAGATGCATAATATAAAACATTTTAGATACTGATTTCTTGTATCGGAATCTAGTAGCATAGACGAGGTATATGTATTTCTATCTCGTTTGTGCTGAAGATATACAATTCACAACACTATAAAGGATATCATTTTTTTGAACCAACTTATATCATTTTGTTTGACGTAATTCTATAATTTACCGTTGTTTAAACGTAGAGGACGCTAGAAAACCAGTGATTTTTTTTCCAGATCGGTATTTCAGACCCTGAAATACGAAACCCCATTTGATGTCAAGTCTATGAAAGTTAGTCAATGGTGAAAGTAACCTCGTTTGTATCACGGGCCACGAAATCCCGTAAGATGCTTGATGTATTCATATACTTCGTCCGTGGTCTGTGTTAATAACTTTCAAGTTTTTAAAAAAGTTGTGTATAATGGTAATAAATTTTTATATGCAATTTGATATTATGTTTAAAAAATCTGAAAAAATGTTATTTTATTGTTTCTGAAATGTAGAGTTGTTTGAAATTGTATGACAAATTACTGCAATATTTTGTCCTGTACGTACATTTAAAATTTGTATGTACACTAAATTCTATATGTACATTAAAATTTCAACCAATGCACATCTTGTAAGTTCATACTCAATGGTTTACTGAACACTAAATCGACAATGCTGGGAATAACACTAAAGTGCGTGATTAAAATGCACTGAGTAATAGATCTATTCTATACTTTGTCTATGGTAATAAGAATTATATAGTATTTGAACACAGACGTGTCGGACAAGTATTATTGTTAGTCTAAATCAATTTTGAAAAAATATTACAAAATGTGATGTTGTGATCAAAAATATATTCTTCCTATAATTTTCATAATTTGATATCGATATTCCCTCATATTAAGGAGGATTTGAAAGATTTTAAGTAAGAACATATATATTTTTACTTAGTTTTATGAACATTTATATTGAATAGCGTTATTTTTTATATATGTCACCTATAATCAATAATTATATTCATTCTTATTTATATAGTTTAATATACATTTCAGATCAAATATATTTTAGAAAATGGCAAATCCTCCTCCAAATGTTGGTCAATCATATTTTTGGAATTCAGGAGTTTCTCAGCCACAAAATATGGGGTATTATCCTGTGCCACCCCCAAATTTTCCACCTCCAAATTTTAGACAACCACCACCTTCTTATAATATGCCTGTTTCTACTTTGCCTGAAAATAAAAGTGGAAATTTTCCACCGTATCATTCTATGGGAACATGCTATCAAAATGAAGTCTCAAATTCTTATCACGATGTTTCTTATCAAACTCAAACAGAACTGCAGTATAATAATCAAAATTATGCATTATCTAATTATTCTCAGTCTGTAAATGGGAATTTTAATACAAATTGGGATGATATAAACGCATATCACAACAATGATAATACAGAATGGAAGTTTAATAATTATTCATCTGATTGGTATAAATCACAAGATAACAAAAGTTCTTGGTACGAAACAAATAAAGCCCAAGAAGATGATAGAAAGTCATTATATGTAAAATATAATAATTCCCCAAAAAATAGAAACTTTGAATGGAGATATAAAGATAAAGAACCTTCCAATAGTCATCCAGTCATTAAGAAACGTTCCAGGAGTCCTGAGAATAGATCAAGAGAGAGATCAAGTAAATCACCATATAGATCAAGGCATGATTCTCAGAGAGATAGGTATTCAAAATACATAAAAAATAGATCGATTTCTAGAGAGCGTTTACACTGTGAAGAAGATTTTGATAGGAAGTCATTATACAGAAAAAATAATTTATATGCATCACGTTCTCAGAGATATACAAGTTACAGAAGTAGGAAAAGATCCAGGTCTCAAGAGTCTTACTGTAGAACTACTAGTCCAAATAACCCTCCTGTTAACAGGGACAGAACTGAAAGAGAATTACTTCTAGAAAAATATAGGTAGTGTATGTTTTATAAAATTATATACATATTTCTTATTAAAATTTTAATTTGTTCTATTTTATTTGTTTAAGGCAAGATTATTGTGCAACAAGCAAAGATATGGAAAGGAAAATGGATGAATTATCTGCAATGGGACCTGAAGGTATCATGGAAAATGCAAGAAAGGTATGGACACGTACTGCACCAGCAGATTTATATTATAGTAGAGATGACAACAATCCAAAAATAATGAATGGTACACCTAAATTGCACGAGTTATGTGAATTATTCAAGAAAGTATTATTGAAAAGAGCTGCAGCTGCAAGAGCTTTACAGGTATATTTTCTTCAATTATTATAATAGAATAATTTTTATACATTTAAAAATATTTTTAATTTTTTACTATGTAGCCTCCTTACGAACCACCTCCAAGAAAGACTAGAGCTCGTTTGTGTAGGCATAAGTCTGAAGTTTGTAGTAGTTCTTCTTCTGACAGTGATAGTTCGATGGATGAAGATGATAGAACAATGGAAGAATTAATGGCAAAAAAGCAACATCCACAAAGATTACATCCTGAAATGTGGTTCAACGATCCTGGAGAAGTAAATATTCTTCTTTTTAAGCATTTTATAATGTCGTATGTAAGCAATATTCAAAAATATTTTCAATATTATAGATGAATGATGGACCACTGTGTAGATGTAGTGCAAAATCAAGGAGATCTGGTATTAGACACGGAATTTATGCTGGGGAGGGTGCAATAAATAAATGTGATTTAAATTCAAATAATGCTGATAAATTATATCATTATCGAATAACAATTAGCCCCCCAACAAATTTTCTTACTAAAACACCAACAATTATTAAGCACGATGAACATGAATTTATATTCGAAGGGTTCTCTATGCTCTCACATTTTCCTCTTGTAAAATTGCCAACTTGTAAAGTAATAAGATTTAACATTGAGTATACAATTCTTTACATAGATGAAAAGTTACCAGAAAATTTTATAATTCAAGAATTAGACTATTTTCGTAAGTTTTCTTTTACTATATTTAGTCTATAATTTGCTGTATTTTGTACTTATAAATCCTTTTTTTTTCAGAAACATATTTGTTTAAGGAAATATTGGAACTTATAGATTTTGATTTACAAGCCGCGCAAAATAAATCTGGTTGTGGTCAATTTCATTTTATGCCAAGATTCGTTCGTGACTTAGCCGATAATGGGCAAGAAATATTATCCATGAATGAGGTTTTAAATTATTTAATTAAAAGTAGTAAATTGTTAATAGAGCCAGATGATCTACCTAGGTTGGTGGAAATGCCCCAATATAAATGGCAAAATTTTGCTGACGAGGTAAAGGGTATGATTGTTACATATCCTGGAAAGAAACCATGTAGTGTTCGCGTAGATCAATTAGATAGGAATCAAACAGATCAGCCGCCTGGTGTAATTGCATATCCTGAAATTGTACATTTTGGAATTAGACCACCACAACTTAGTTATGCAGGAAATGCAGAGTAAGTATTTATGAAATGATTTCTTTACGGAAAAACAATATTCAATTATTTTTACTTATTTCAGTTATCAAAAAGCATGGAGAGATTACGTAAAATTTCGTCATTTATTAGCGAACATGCCAAAACCTTCATTCGAAGATAAAAGAAAGTTGGAAGCAAAAGAGAATAAGCTTCAGGAGTTGAGAACCCAAAGCAAAATGAAACGCGATGTTACTGTTGATGTTAGTTCTGAAGGATTTTATAGAACTGGAATAATGTGCGATATAGTGCAACATGCAATGTTAATTCCAGTACTTGTTTGCCATTTGAGATTTCATAAATCTTTAGACAACTTAGAACGTACTTTAGGCTATGAATTTAAAAACAGATATCTTCTTCAGTTAGCTTTAACACATCCTAGTTATCGTGAAAATTTTGGTACAAATCCAGATCACGCACGGAATTCTTTGACTAATTGTGGAATAAGACAACCAGAATATGGTGATCGTCGAATACATTACATGAATACTCGGAAACGTGGTATTAATACATTAATCAATATAATGTCAAGATTTGGTGCAAGAACTGAAACTGAATCTTCGATAGCGCACAACGAAAGATTGGAATTCTTAGGAGATGCAGTAGTGGAATTTCTCACATCAATTCATTTATTTCATATGTTTCCTGATCTAGAAGAAGGTGGTTTGGCTACTTATAGAGCAGCAATTGTTCAAAATCAACACCTTGCTGTATTAGCAAAGAAATTAAATTTAGAGGAATATATGCTCTATGCACATGGAAGTGATCTCTGTCACGATTTAGAATTGCGACATGCAATGGCAAATTGTTTTGAGGCATTAATGGGTTCATTATTTCTTGATGGTGGTATAGAAGTTGCCGATAGAGTTTTTGGTGAAACACTTTTTAAAGACGAAGATGATCTTGCAAAAGTTTGGGTAAATTACCCAAAACATCCTCTGCAAGAGCAGGAACCAACAGGTGATAGGCAATGGATACCAAGTTTTGAACTATTGCAAGTAAGTATATATATATAAGAAATATTTCATATTTAATGTGTTAACAATTTTTACTTGATTTCTAGAAATTAACAAAATTTGAAGAATCCATTGGTATAGAGTTTACTCATATTCGTCTTTTAGCTAGAGCATTTACTGATCGCAGTATAGGATATACGAATTTAACATTGGGCTCCAATCAGCGTCTAGAATTTTTAGGAGATACTGTATTACAATTGATAGTTTCTGAATATTTGTACAAATATTTTCCAGAACACCATGAAGGGCATTTATCTGTAAGTAGTATTATAATTTTTTTCATAAAAAATGAAGACATATCTTATATTTTACAGTTACTACGAAGTTCTCTGGTAAATAATAAAACTCAAGCTGTAGTATGTGACGATTTGGGGATGACTCAATATGCACTTTATGGTAATCCAAAGGCTGAATTGAAAACAAAGGACAGAGCAGATTTATTGGAAGCGTTTTTAGGAGCTCTTTATGTTGATAAGGGTCTAGAATATTGTCGTGTTTTTTGTGATGTATGCTTCTTTCCACGTTTGCAAGATTTTATTATGAATCAAGATTGGAATGACCCAAAAAGCAAATTGCAACAATGTTGTTTAACATTAAGAACAATGGATGGTGGAGAGCCTGATATTCCTGTATACAAGTAAATTTAGATTACATAAGCGTTTTATAAACGTGTTTATATATAATGAAAAAATTTATTTAATTTTCTTTCCAGAGTAATTGAATGTAAAGGACCAACAAATACAAGAGTTTATACCGTTGCTGTATACTTTCAAGGAAAACGTTTAGCAAAGGCATCTGGTCATAGTATTCAAGAAGCAGAGATGAACTCGGCAAAAGAAGCTTTAGAAAAATCTCAAGGTATCAAATTAAATATTTAAAATAAAATTTAAAAATATATATTTTGTACTTTATATCTATTTATCTTTTTGTACTTATATCTATTTTTTTACAGATTTGTTTCCACAACTAGATCATCAAAAACGGGTAATAGCAAAGAGTATGAAAATGCAACAATGGCCAACTAAACATAAAACGAGGGGAAAATCTATGAAACCTATAGATAGGCATGATGATTCAGATTCCAGTCAACGATCTAAGAGAAGTCGTAGTGAAGCATAGCTAACAATGAAAATTAATTTTCAATGTAGTGCAAGGATATTTTGTATTGAATGTATGTTTGATGAATATATAATTGATAACGGTATCAATTATCACGAAGATTATAATCTTTAATAGTTATTAAAATAAATGCTATTATAATGTAAAAAATAATAAATATGTTTATTTAATATTTAGTTATTCAATGATATTTATATCATTGTTAGGTTCCATTAATGCAGGATTTTTTTGATGTAATATATGCTCATTCTGATTTATGACATTTTGACACATTTGTATGTTGGTTACAATGTTTTGTAGAGTCCATTGCTTTGATAACAATGCATGCTTTATATTAAATAAACCATCTTGTATACAAAGTACTTGAGTACAAGTAGCATTACTACGAAGCTTTAATCCTAGATCATGAATTATGGCTTTTAAATACAAATCAGTTTCATTTGTGCAAACAACTTCTGCAACATTATAAGAAGTATAAAATGTAATTTTTTTTATAAATTTCGTTATTGCTTCAAGAAATATTCATATATTTACCTAATATAAATTCTGGAGGTGAAAAGTCTACACATTTAATTGTGTATATCATAGGGATATTAGAATCTGCTGGTCTAAGTAATCCTTTAACTGCTAATTCATATGCAGCTTGGCTTTGGATATCTACACCACACAATCTGCAAATGTATAAAAATATAACATTGCTTGCTTGCATCATGTATGATTGTCTTTAAACATGTATCAAATCTGAACATACTCAAACATTTTTCTTTGATGTGTAGATTGCATTGAGCTACATAACTTATCAAGGTGACCACGTCTCACATGTGCGTATGTAGATTTTTCTACTACTTTTCCAGTATGAAAATAATTATCTGTCGCTTCTCCTAATAATCCCTTTATCTTGTAGAACCTTAAACTTTGAGATGTTTTTATTTTATGTATCAATTGATTACCTGCATTGATTCCACAAACCAAAATGCCAGACACATCTTTATGCATAATTTTTGTAGCTCCCATTCTAAAGTCATTTGGTTGATAACGAGGTCCTACTAGTAATGGATGATCTGCAAAGCTATTTCGAACAACAACTTTCATAGGTTTATTGGTTTCTCCTTCAATAGCTACATGTTTCATTGGTGGTCTTGTATGCATATCATTTAATTCTAAAAGCAATAATTTCTATTTTAGTAAATTAGTTAAATTCTATCGAAAAAAAAATATTTTATAAATAAAGAATATATTATGAACCTCTGCATAAATTGCTGATCACTGTTTCTCTTAGATTGTTGAAGTGTAAAGCTTGAGGTTTATACAACGCAACTACACCATTCAGTGCCTTGTATATTATTTTTGCATCATCAACGTATTTAGTTACTGTTCTTATTGCTGACATGTTAAATGTTTAACAATGATATATAATAGCATTTATTTTTACTTCAATAACCAACACAAACCAAGGTGAATCATTTATTTTTTATGTGTTTACTTCATATTTTTATTCTGTATTTAAAGTCTAAACGCATTATTGCACACAGTGTATGTACGTATCTGCACGTGATATTTGTGATCACACATGATTAATTCACTAACTGTCTCTTCTTAGTGTTTGAAATACAACAAGGACATCTGTCGTGTGATTTTATAAATGGCTATTAGTTTGAAGAATTTTGGAATTGGAGTGTTTGGTAGCCGGCGTTTTATTTTTAAAGGTATTTATAGAAAAATACATAACAGCGTTTATTTTTGAATACTGTAAAGATATATTTAAGGAATGATTAATATCATTGCTTTTAAATATTTTCTTCATATACTTATCCAATAGAATATAGATAATAAACTAACTCGATGATAGGTTATGTTGCATATGATACTTTTTTTTAGCGGTATTTTCAAATAGTAGACAGCTTGTCACGATGTCAGAATCACTGAATAAAGTACCCGATGTGGATATCGATGGTCATGGAAGATTTAAATACATTTTGATCAACGTTTACGACGAACCCAAGAATATCAGCAAATCCATTGTCAGAGGTTATGCTAGAGCTCAGTGGCACTGTGAGTACTATAAAATGTTTATGATTTTTCATTGTTATATTTTTATTGTGCTTTGCGTTTAACTATTATTACACACACATATATATATATGTATGTATATATGTATGTATATAAAGGAGAAAGTTACAGGGTATACAAATATTTTACACAAAAATGTTAAGTGTTTGTAGGCTAAAGTTCCTATGTATATTCTTATATAATCATATTCACATAATTTATTATTTACATTAATAACAATAGAATTTGTACAATTTTACATACACATATATTTTACATGTACAATAAAATCCATAAATTAGGCATGAATTATTATAAAACATGCCTCGGGATTAAATTATTCTACCAAGGTACAGTAACATTTGTATTTTTTTTTTTTTTAATTTGTTTAATTACGTAGAACATTCATTTCACAATTAATAAAAGACATCACAAGATAATGCCGAGACATTTTCTGTCTAAAAAAATAGATTTGAAGTGCTGGATCTTTAGCGATGATTGATCTTGATAAGTGCATAGATGAATGATTTTGACAGAATGTGTCGTTTAATAATCGTATCGTTCAATAATCGTCGATTTGCATATAATCAGCAGGGCAGTACGATTTCCATTTGTAGTAGTAATAGCGTAGGTAGGAACTGCATGAATCGTAATGGATTCTTAACCCTTTGCCTTATGATTTCCTTTCCTATTATAATTGTATAACATCGTATGGAGATGATTGTAAAGTATTGAAACGTTGTCTGCGACTTGTATTTTCTAATTTTCAAATTAGGTTTAAATGTGAAATTTTTATTCGAATTGCGCGGCACTTTTTTCAAACCGAAACTATAATTCAAATATGAGTGTAAACTCGATATTTTAAGTAAAACAAGAAGTTAATGATCAAACTCGTCTCTGATTATGAGACAATCTCACTGTATCTTAATATAGTTTCGACAATTAATCATCACGTTATCACATTCTTCACGCTTTATCAATTAAATCTTTCTTCTCACGATATATGTATAAAGATGTTTACGGATTTGTTAGCCAGCATTTTCCTCATAAGCGATAAATACGAGAAAGGAAAGACTAAGTATTGTTTTTTGTAAGCAGCAATGATGATTTATGAAATTTTTTTGTATTCACAGCGTTTTCTTTCAATGAAAGTGAAAGTTTAATTTTTTAAACAGAATCTTTTATTTCAAGAGGATTATAATGATGTAACACACAATGACTTTGAGTGTCATACAGAGTTAAAAAAATGAAAGAAAAATTTTGAACATTTCGTTATTCCATTATTTACTCACACAGAGTATTCTTAATACATAAGAAATGTATTTATAAAATATTCGAACTTTTTTCTCTTGATTCTAATCTTGTATGATTTCGAAAGTAATTTTATGGCAGATAGTTATGAATTCGTCTTGATTTAAGGTTTTACTACGTATAATATAAAAAAATATGTAGCGTTCTACTTAAAAAATTGAAGATTACTTTCATTAAAAAAAAAATGTGGTGCAAATACAAAAGTATTTCATCGCAGTACTTTTTTTTCTTTCATTTGTTTTTCATTCACTTGCTACGAAGGAAAACGCTGATTAATAAATTCGCGAACCACCTGTATATACAGATGTTCATGGAAGAAGATAAAACGATACATAAGTACTTAAAATTTAATAAACTACACTCGCATTCGAATGACACGCTTCATCGAAACTTCAATCGTCAATTATTAAGTACTAAGAGACTTAATAATTCTCTTTCCAGAATTAGAAAGCAAACGAATTTGAGAAAGAAATCTTAAAAAGAATTGTGGTCAATTTTTCGTCAAACGATCCCTTCGCTTTTCGCGTTACTAAGAAGCTCTTCTGAAACAACACCAAGCTCTCTGTATGTCGAAACCCAGTTTACAGTTTTTGTGATTCGAAGTTTTCATGCTTTTCGCGCCACTACTGTTATTCTTCGCCGATGTTCGTGACGACGCGTCGGTTGTTTGCACCTGGTCTCAGGTGCTGTCACTCTCCTCGTAATGTTCTATGAGATCAACATCGATGTCCTTAGACTCTTTCAATTTCTCCTTAATCGGCTCCAATTTGATTCCCTTGTATTTATGTCCTTTATTATCTTCCTGTAGATTCTCTGTGATTTCATCGCTCGTTTTCCCTAAAACTTTTGGCTCCCTGACTGGCGACGCTAAATCCGGATCCGTATTGCTGTGCATTAACGTGAACGGCAGCTTAAGGGACACTTCTCCGCCCATTGTTGAGATTAGTAGCTTCACCTGCGAAAATGTTATGAATAATTGATCTGATTATTATCTGGACTTGAAATAAATATTTAAATTGAATCAAAATTTTGCTCCATCTCCTAAATGAGCTGTTCAAAAATCGCCTCCAAAAATCAACTCCGTAAATTGAGAAGCAGGAAAAGATGGTTGCAAACTATTTTTTAGTTTTTAAACTTAATTTAATTTTAAATTTAAATCTTGAATTTATCTTGGAATTCGCTAAGGAAATTAAGGAAATACACTGGCGTTTAAAGCTACATAAAGGATTTTAATTTTCGCCGGGAAATTATTCATATTTAAATTATTATTGTAATTTCTTAAGAAAGAATCAAATAACATTTTGCCTGGATTCATTTTAAAGTGAAAGAAATTCCACATCAGATATCTAAATTCGTGATGGATTTTGTCGCGAGAAAATTAAAAAAATGTTTTAAATTTAAACTGTATTGACAGTTTTTTGAATTTGTAAAATTCTCAAGAAGAAAAGCAGAAGTTTCATTTTTTTTTAAAATGAGCTTAGGCAAAACGTTGCACGATTCTTTTTCATAAAGTTACAATAACTGGAATGTGAACAATTTTTCATCCAAAATTAAATGATTCTTTAATGTTGGACGTCAGTGTATGTTTGCTATTTTATACATATATTTCTACATACTTACATAATTGAATTTGGAAACAGATTTTATTCATAAAGATATCGTCAAAAAGCTAGATATGCCGACACTTTCTTCACCCACTGTAATTGTGAGTTGGAGGTGACAGTTTATTCTTGCGAACAGCTTAAGTCTCGATAATGATTCGGCGGCATGATTCATCGACAAAGAGAAACTTTTCATTTATTTATCTGTCCGTTTGTTAAGATAATTTACCTTCACATAGTAGGACACATATATGGCAAAAACGTTTCTGTCCTCTGGACCGTTTCCAGGACAAACGACGGTTGAGGCCAGTGTCGCTTCCCCTTTCGTGTAACTATCTTCCAAAGCAATCCAATTCTTTGTCGAGCCTTTAATCGGTCTAAGCGTGTAGCTTCTCTTTAACGACGCTCCAGGACTTATAGGACATCCTTCCTGCGAGGACAGCAAGGCCACCACGTTTTTGAATTTACCATTACTGAACATGCACACATCCACGTGTTGCACGATGAAGACCTGCGAAGGACGATCGATAGCATTGGCCGTGAGAATCGTGTGGAAATTCCATAAAAAAGATTATGTGGAAAATATAGAAAATATAGAAAATGTGGATACGGTAGAAAAATTTCTCTTTATTCAGCAATGTCTGGAAGATGTAACGAATTTTAAGATCTCTGTTAATTTCACGAAAAATTTTCATATACCATAACGCGGAGGAGTTTGAGGGCAAATGTTACAACAGAGAAATGTAATGTCGGATGAGATGCTTTGAGAAAAACAAGCCTTGAGAAAAAAAAAAATCTCTGTTTTATTGCCTTTGGTTTTCGTATCATTGGAGCAAAGCTTTGCGTTGAATTTGAAACAGAGGGAAGGTTAATTGCGATGCTAATCTGGCAAAGAGATTGGTACTTGCCAACTGAAGAACAAACGCGACTATGTGTTGCCAGTTTGATGTGTGTGACTCTAGCTGAGTCTAGCCTGTGTTAGTCTGTTTGTCAAACTGTCGGAACGAAGTTAACATAGCAGACCTATTCGGAATTCGTACACTAGTCACCGCACTATCGAAGCTGTCTGTTCTCGTTTTCAAACAATGTTTGTCACACTTGCTAATGAACCGTAGCGCAAAGGCAATTGACACGAGCATGGTCGCTTTATACTGCCAACTCCTTTTGTTGTCCGAAGGAATTTACTAGTCGTCCCCATTGTCTATTATTTCTCATCGTTTCAACAATTGCATGACTTCTTTTTCCCTCTGTTCTTTTATGTAATTGAAATATACGCGAAAAATATGTTATGACATTAATTCGACGCATAAAGATATTGTTCATCGAGATGTCTCGATGGAATACATTTCAATATATTGCTTTCTTTAATTCTCAAATAGCGTCGTTAGGTTACAGTATATAATCATTTAATTTAGAATTTTAATAATATAATGAAATTTATTTTATATTTTGTGTTCTCTGTATATTTGAGTATATTCAATTGTATTAAACAAATTTTATACGAATATTATACGATGCCGATTAAATTAATTTTTTGGTGCAAGTCACTGTTAAATATTTCTCGTTATTAGCTTTTATCATTTGTTATCTTACGTTCCTGTGTTGGAGCCATTTGTTTTACTGGAATTCTAATATCTCTTAATACGCAGCTCGATGTTTTTATCGTACCTGAATCCTGAAACGTTCGTTATCTTTTCATTCAAATTACAGTGCTATATTCGATACACGAATTTTAATTGAAAGCGTAAAAGAGCAAATTTACCTTTAAAAAGCAGTTTCCAAAGTGATTCTCGTTTACTTTTTAATATTTATTTATATAGCAAGTAACGTGCTTTTGTCGGGCATTTTTGAATAAGTAACTGGAAAAAAACTTGAACTTTCTTTGCGAAACGAAGCGAATTAAACGCCAACACTCCCGAATTAAAGGATGAGTCAGTATCTAGTTTCGAGTCAGAATATTTCCGAGTCCCTTTCTCAAATATGATGCAGTTAGATTACACATGCGTACCCTACGAATGAAATTTTACCCGGATTAATATTCTCCGTGCCACCATGCACGAACCATTAGTGTTTCATGCGAAACTGTCCAGCCGTACGTAATGAAAATGATCATGTAGTCTGAAAATGTAGTATTCCTCGTTCTTTTAAATTTTATATAAATTCCTCTGTTATTCGGAGATCATTCGTTTAAGGGTGTTGCATAAGTGATGATGATTTTACGTGAAAAAATAAGTCGACAGAGAAAGAAAGAAAAAAAAAAAAAAAAGATAAAATTGTTTCATTTAAGACTTTGTTTTCGAGAAGAATCAAGTTCGAAAATTGTCAATGTTGTCAATACGAGCGAGAAGTTATTCTGCCTGCGAGAATAAGTCAGAAATGTGAAATACAATTTTTTTTATAAAAATACGCTTCGTTTTCGAGAAAAAAGATATTATATACGAGATTTGAACATCTTCATTAAGCCAATTCTTAAGTAAACGTATTCGCAATCTATTTTTTTTTTTTTGAAAACGAGTTTTAGACGGAAA